TACCTGAACAAAACATTATATATTGATTATAGTGATTAGCACTGTGTACATGCTATGTACAGTAACATGCTTTATTATAGTGTAAACTTACCAGTATGCTTAAAGAGAGCCATTTGCCTAAGGTTCAAGAAAAGGGGTTGTGATGTACTGAATGCTCGGAAATCTTTTTCAAGCCATTTCTTTCTTCTCTGCTGGTCAGAACTGAGCTCACTATGCAGACATCTTTGTTGCTCTCCAGTCTAGTTCAGTCCAGTTCCTCAGTCCATGTATGAACCCCACAAATATGATTGAGAAGTAACTTCCACCTTTTGATTACAATTTCCAGCATCTAGGTGGAACAAAACTAACATCCTTCTTTTCTGATGGTGGATCTAATGAAAGCATGCTGACATCTAGGTTAGTGCTTCCATCAGGCTCTTCTTCACACTGAGCTGGTTCTGAGCTGAAGGTAAACACAGGTAAGTACCATTTTGATGAACAATAAAACACAGGCATCCTCACTCTCCATTGTAAACAAACAGCATCAGCTTACGTGTGAGTATGCGCCCGTGGATATGTCATTATGCAACAGTCGCGAGAACCGTTTGCCCAGGCTGTGGATTGAAGGTAATAATGTTGTAAATAATGTGCAGTTTCTTGCACAACCCAATCGTTTCGCTTCATAAGACCTTAATATATCGTCAGGCGCCACAGGTATTAATTTGGTCTGGCCTGTATAAGTGTTTTTGACTCCCAAAAAATGGCAGCCACAGACATGCAGTGTATGAATCCCCAAGGACCACAGTTTTACCTAAAAATCTTCTCTACGGTTCTGCTGAAGAAAAAAGTCACCTACATCTTGGTTGGCCTGAGGGTGAGTAAATTAACAGCAAATTTTCATTTTTGTGTGAACTATCGATTTATTAAATACAACAACATGACAAAAAGCCAGACATTTGATTACATTTAAACATTTTGGAGAATGCAACTTTCCTGATGTTTATGCATGTGTATCTTCCAGTGTACATTTACAATTATTGTGTGTGATATGCTTTTTTACAAAGATTTTATTGTGTGTGTTTGAGATAGCGTTTGACAGCGTCTCTGTGAGTGTACCTGAAAAGTCTCCTATTGTCTAAATAAATTGCTATTTGAGCTTTCAGAGGTGGGAAGTTCTTCAGTGCTTTAGTGAACATTACCAGTATTTGGAATGTGACGTTGGGGAGTCACTGTATTGAGGGATTGTATTTGTTGATCTTTCCATTGAAGAAAATGTTGTGGTCTCGAGTCTGAGTCCAAAACTGTATTTTCATGGACTTTGGAACATTTGTACTCTGTCTTGAGTTTGCATCAGTTGCGGAGGTTCGTGCAGCACTGATGTGAAACCAGGCTTCATGCACCCCAAAGTAGTGTTGCCTCACGAAGAGTTGAAACTGTGAACTCATTTGAGAATTGGCATCAAAACCTTGACAGGTTAAGTGAAGTCTACTTTAGATAGCGCTTTGGTCAATACAAGTGTTATTTACATGTTATCACTGGACACCAAAATTGTTCTCGAAGCAGACAGGGCCTTGCTATTTTGAAGTTTTACTGACGATGACGCAGAGGTTCCCACAGTGTTCCAATGTACTCGCCGACAAAAGGTCAGCATGCACAAAACCTATGCAGCTGGGGATAGGCTTTTAGCTGTACGTCAGTCTCTGTCGAATGCATTGGTGTCCCAAAGTAGGTGCAGCATGGGTTGTTTATATAATGGCACATCAGGCAAGACTTGGGGCCGGCAGGTTTTTTTTTTTTTTTTGTAGTCAGACATTTGATTACATTTAAACATTTTGGAGAATGCAACTTTCCTGATGTTTATGCATGTGTATCTTCCAGTGTACATTTACAATTATTGTGTGTGATATGCTTTTTTACAAAGATTTTATTGTGTGTGTTTGAGATAGCGTTTGACAGCGTCTCTGTGAGTGTACCTGAAAAGTCTCCTATTGTCTAAATAAATTGCTATTTGAGCTTTCAGAGGTGGGAAGTTCTTCAGTGCTTTAGTGAACATTACCAGTATTTGGAATGTGACGTTGGGGAGTCACTGTATTGAGGGATTGTATTTGTTGATCTTTCCATTGAAGAAAATGTTGTGGTCTCGAGTCTGAGTCCAAAACTGTATTTTCATGGACTTTGGAGCATTTGTACTCTGTCTTGAGTTTGCATCAGTTGCGGAGGTTCGTGCAGCACTGATGTGAAACCAGGCTTCATGCACCCCAAAGTAGTGTTGCCTCACGAAGAGTTGAAACTGTGAACTCATTTGAGAATTGGCATCAAAACCTTGACAGGTTAAGTGAAGTCTACTTTAGATAGCGCTTTGGTCAATACAAGTGTTATTTACATGTTATCACTGGACACCAAAATTGTTCTCGAAGCAGACAGGGCCTTGCTATTTTGAAGTTTTACTGACGATGACGCAGAGGTTCCCACAGTGTTCCAATGTACTCGCCGACAAAAGGTCAGCATGCACAAAACCTATGCAGCTGGGGATAGGCTTTTAGCTGTACGTCAGTCTCTGTCGAATGCATTGGTGTCCCAAAGTAGGTGCAGCATGGGTTGTTTATATAATGGCACATCAGGCAAGACTTGGGGCCGGCAGGTTTTTTTTTTTTTTTTGTGAGCTGTATTTGAAGATGGGCATTCAGAACACCAATAAATGTGGCAGGAAAAATGAAGCTCCGTCACAGTAGCCATTGTTTGTGCATGTTTTTCATTGTATTGACTGCCAGTTTAAAATGTCTTCTTTTCTGTTAATCATTTCCCAATACTCACAACTTCATACATACATCAGAGGTGTAAAGTATTTGAGTAAATATAAGTAGTTACTGTACTTGAGTATCTTTTTGGATACTCTGTAGGTTTACTGAGTATCAAAGGTATTAGCAATTTTTACTCTCTACTTCACTACATTTTTGAATAAGCATCTGTACTTTTTACTCCACTACATTTGTAATGGGTGTGTTTGCATGGCACCTAGCTTTTTCTGCAGCAGTTAATTTCTGCTACAAAATAAGTGATATCGCCAACGACAGGACACGGAAAGTACAATATCTTGTGCGTTTTTCCCTTACTCACCCAAACTTGTCAACAAGGCTACTTTACGTTGAATGCGAGTTCCTTAGCAACAGCAATGAGGCTGAAACCAGCTCATCCAGTGCAAGACGGCTTTGACTTTTTAATTATTATTTTTTTCACTGTTCTCCTGTATTCTTATTCTGTTATTATTGTAAAAGTTCAATAAAAAAATTAAGCAAAAAAAAAAATATATATTTTATTTATTCGTTATACTGAAGAGAGCTTTTTGAAGGAAAATTTTATTTATTTTTTTTGCAATTTTGAGGTGTTCAGTTTTACTTTGGTTTTAGAAAATAAACGTGACTGCTGTTCTCACAAATCAACTCTTTCTTGTTTTTCGCTGGCATGTCTCTTTGACTAGTGCATTTTGAGCCAATATTTAGTAAAATACTTAAGTACTTTTACTCAAGTTGTTTTGAAATTGGTGACTTGTAACTTTGGAGTAATTTTCACTGTAAGGTACCTGTAATTTTACTCAAGTATGGTTTTAGGTATACTCTTTACACCTCTGACATACATACATTTATTGCACACTTGAATAGACAAGCATTTGTTTAGTTGTGTGCACCAATTAAACAGATTGTGCTGCCCTATTTGTAACTTAATTCTTTCACAGGGAATAACATTTAATTTTAAATTTTCCAACATAGAGGATGTTAGTAAATGATGCCAATGATGTTGCTGGACACGATAGTTTTTAAATCCCTTCTGCTCAGGAAGGGAAAGAAAAGCTCTAAAACAAACAGAAGCAGTGAAGCTCCAGGAAGTTCGGAAACAGCGACAACAACAACTACAACCAGCTTATGCGACCAGCAAGCACATTTTCTCTTCAAAGCCTCTCCATCTGCATCTTCCAGATTGTCTAGGACCTTCTTCAACGACTTGAGAACCTTCTCTCCAAGGCTCCTCCATCTGCTAATCGGCTAATCTACCTCAAAGCCTGTGTCTTATTTGATACTAACATTTTAACATGCTTTTTCTAGTTGCTTCAATCCAGTAAGTGTTCATCTTGAAACATTCTAACAGTTTTAAAGTTATTCTTATGTTTACTTATTAAATTCAGTAAATATTTCAAAGCAAAAAGACATGAACCTGAATGGGGACATTTTTAGATTTATGGGGTCCTAACCTTCCTATTAAACAGTGATATAATTATAACATGATATATAATAATGAAATGTATAGCAAAATAAATGAAATGATTATGTTAAAAGGGAGGAGAAAAAACTTCCCTCTGTTATCATTTTATGTTGTTGATAAACAGACCTCATCTTCATGACTGCAGTAATATTATTTTTTTGTCTTTCTACTATGGCACATACGTTTCAACAGCTCGTATGCCTATACAAATCAAGCGCACTTTATTTTTATTAGTTTATTTTTTCAACTCCTTCCCCTTAATGCAGGGGTTTACCTCGGATTCCCTTTTGTCGTGCAATCTAGAGGTTTAGATTCCTATATGAAGCATCCCATTTATCATCTACACCTCCCCAAATGATGGACAAATAAAAGTCGACTATCAAATAAAGTCCCGTTTTAAATATTTTTACTGTTAAGACAAGCCTGCTGCTCCACTTTGTGTAAGACACATTACTTTTGTGCCTCACGTCAAATTTCAAGACTGAGGAGAAAGAAAGGCAGCGAAACAGCACATGAAGTGGCTATTAAAAACCCGTTTGACAAGAAAGGGGCGCTTTTTCCATGATGCACAAAGACTGCAGTTGTAATACCGTCTGTTTTACAGTTCACTTTGGTGTTTTCGTAGTTTTCCCTTTAATATCTCCCTGTCTCTGGTCTGGATGTGCTCCTCCAGCAGCATCAGCACCACACCGCTCCTGGATGCTGCGCTGCTGGAGTATGTACGCATGCGCACCACAGTGGAATTACTGCACAGCGCACTCTAAGTTGGATCTTCTCTGTCTTCACGGAAACCAGAAACCATACAAAAGTATGGCGATCTTTAGAATAAGACAAAAGAGCTTCGTGCGCGTCTGGACGTTTTCCGCGATAGTGGCCGTGGTGTGTGCGCAAAGGTAAGTCCGAACCAAAGCTCTCCTCACTTCATATGGCTGTCTGTAGTCCACACACAACTGAAATGATCTCCAAGCATGCATCTGAATCTAACGGTGCATTTTCCCTCTTTGCAGTGTCAATGATCCAAGCAACATGTCTCTCGTAAAAGAAACTGTTGATAGACTATTGAAAGGATATGACATTCGCTTGAGGCCAGATTTCGGAGGTAACGCACGTTTTTAATTAAGTCCATCATGTCAGCCTTTTAACATCACCTCTGAACTTTCATATAGTAAAATCCTAAGCGTGCCATTATGGAGAGTTACGCGCTAATATATCCCAATGATCTCAGGTTTGGAGGCGATCGGGACACTTGCTTTCACTCGTTATGAATTAATCGCTTAATCTGCCGAACGCGATGTTAGATTAGAAATGCCTCGCAAAGTTAACGAACGAATTTACACCGATTTGGACATCTGCACATTCTACCCTTGCGATGCTTTCTCTGACTGGCACTAATTAATCAGTAATAGTAATATCAGTGAACAGTGATGCTCATGATGACGAATCCATAAATTGTGAATTTATCATTCTGGATGATCACAGTGAAATCAGTGTGTTTAGATGATCTTTGCTTTACTTTTCACCTCATCCTGGATGTTATCAGGCTGACGTTGAGTTAATAATGCGTGACATGACCATTCATTTCAGTGTACAAAACAAAATCAATTAGCTGTAACGTCACTGGTATGATTTGGTTTGGTTTTTAGGTCCTCCGGTGGGAGTGGGGATGAATATAGACATAGCCAGCATAGACATGGTCTCAGAAGTGAATATGGTAAGTCTGTTATCATGCTGTCCTGTTGGAGACAAAGTGTGTGAGCTCCTTTAATCCCTTTCTCCCCCCCTCAGCTTTCTATGCCAGATAATTTATGCTTCATTTGAAGAGTTATAGTCTATTGTTTGTCACTGCATCTGTGGGTGCACACTTCATATCAGTGGAATTTTAAGCATACTGTAGACGGTGTATAACAAAACTTTTCAGAGCATGTACTACCTTTTATACTCAGTGTTCACATATGGACATGCGTAATGGTCAGAGAGAGCTAGTGTGGTTTCTATGGCAACATCTTTTTTTTTTCTTCTGCCTATGGACTGAATGTTTTTGCTGGGATTTATAAAATCACAAAACAAGTGGATACCAACGTGAATTTCTCCATTTTGGATTTTTATACTCTTTCCACCCTTTTGGTTATCTGGTAGGATTTTCCCCCCTTAGATACAAGAGCATCCCCTAGTGATGGTTTTGAAGCACAACATGAAGTTTTGTGTTCGAGGTCTGGTCAAGTGAGGTGATATTCATGACAATAACTGAGAGCATCTAATGTATTTTGATACAGCAGGACCTGGTTGCATTATATTTTGAGTTATTTGTACTCTTAGCAGTATTTTGAGACTGGTTTTGTTTCTATTGCGATATTCATTATATGTTAGATGCATTGATGTTTTGTCGAGATGTTACAGTACACTGAAGTGCTGAAGTCGTAACGCGTATGAGACAACATGTATCAGAGGCATTACTGTACTTTTTACACATTCAAGCAAAATAATGTCTCAGATGCGCTCGCTCGGTTCACTTATTTACTATTCACTACATACCAAATGGTGCATGCAAGTGTAAATGAGTGAATTCAGACACTATTCTGTAGTTTTACATGAATGCAACGTCATGTACAAGAAGTCAGACTATTTCAAATCTAATCTGACAGTTCAGACGGAAAGACAGTTCCAAAAATTGCATGAGCTTTTTCAACCACATATTAATCGGATGTTATATTACAGCTACATTGACCTGAGAAAAAAATCAAATGGTTGAAAAAGCCAAAAAGACATTCATGCATCAGCATGTTTAGATGAAGTCTGAGGAACTAGCATCCTAATCTTTTCCCTCAAGCAAAATAATGTCTCAGATGCGCTCGCTCGGTTCACTTATTTACTATTCACTACATAACGAATGGTGCATGCAAGTGTAAATGAGTGAATTCAGACACTATTCTGTAGTTTTACATGAATGCAACGGCGTTACTTTACTAGTTACTTGAAGAAAGTAATCTGATTACGTAACTCGCGTTACTTGTAATGCGTTACCCCCAACACTGCTCGTGAATCACTGAGCATGAATGACTCGACTCTCTGAAGTTTGAAGCAGAGTTTTGAAATGCACCCCTTCCATCTTGTAGATTTTGTTAGCAGAGCAAACATTTTCTCTAAATAAAGTTACCCTTTTCCCACAGAGCTCTCAGGACTGGGGGCTCCATTGCATTATTAAATTATATATGAACTTATATTATGGTTTGCTCGGAATTACCCCGCTGGAGCTGCGCCGAAGCAAAAAGGCTCTATGCTTTCAACTTATAGCCATACAGTATATTGCTTCTGACTCTTTCAATTCTGTCCACGTACAAACATGGTCACACGTCTCCATCATCAAAAGTCCTCTGCATCGCACACAGTAGGTGTTAGATGGTATAGTGGGTCTGCCCAGAGGGAGGAGCAAAGGTCAGACTTGACCGCAGGCCGATATGACTCGCCAACATAGACTTGCAAAAGCTTCATGACATTAACAACCTGCCATTTTCTTGGAGGCAGTCCGGGGTGCGGTTGTAGGGAAGGTCGTGCTCCTCGCTGCGCCTCGGGTGTGCGTGATTCACCGAAGGACAGATGAATGCAAACAAAGGGGTGAAAGTGAAACCGAGTGCTAATGAACGGTCTTGCAGCTTCTGGGCTCAAGTGAAGCCTGATGCTTTTTGATCTTAGGTGCAGACTGATGTTTGCAAGAGCAAACGTGTTTTTTTTCTTTCTGTCTTCACTGCGGTCTTTGTTCCTATACCATGACCTTGACTCATAGGGAAGAAAAAATCACAAATTTGATCTTTATATGTGACCACAAAAGCAGTCTTAAGTCGCTGGGGTATATTTGCAGCAATAGCCAACAATACATTGTATGTGTCAAAATTATTGATTTTTGTTTTATGCCAAAAATCATTAGGATATTAAGTAAAGATCATGTTCCATGAAGGTATTTTGTAAATTTCCTACTGTAAATATACAGTTTTTGGTTAGTAATATGCATTGCTAAGAACTTCATTTGGAGTTTACTACTGATAGAAGTTAAAAGAGAGCGAATGGACACAATCAGTTCGTGAAGGTTCCCAGAACAAGCAGATTTTAAACATCAAAACATTCAGGAAACCAAGAGGCTGAGAGCTTAGCATGAGCGCTGGATCTTGAATCTTTTAAAGTCTAAATAATAATAATAATTAAAAAAAGTATGGAAACACATGAATCCTCAGACTTTTTTGTGTAGTAATGCTGATAATAATGTGCTAGTTTGATGATATAATGCGCCACAAATCCTGTGACATGCCATTTTGGTGACCTCTGGCTGCTCTGATTGAAAAACATGAAAATTTGTGAGCGTGAAATGGGTGATGTTTTAGGATGAGTGGCGTATCTGCTGTAGCTGAAGCATGTGCTGGCTTTTGTGTGTGCTGTTGACCCAGCTGGACTGTGCTGTTTCAATACACTTGAGATAAGGAGCATGTTTGCTCTCTAACATACAAACTGGGGGGCACTCGATATGCATTTTATTTTATTTTATTTTATTTTATTTTATTTTATTTTATTTTAGCTGTTTACTGTAAAACAGATGATAGACCTGCATTGTCCTGTCATATTGAAAATAAATGATCTGCTCCTTTCAAGCACCGATAGAACAAGCTTCAACCTCTCAGTTTATTCTGAACTTCTAAACCTGCGTATTAAACATTACATAATTTAGTCCAAACAGACTATGTAAGCACTTTAAATTATATCATGTAAAATTAAAATGAATGATGATTCTTGTTATTGTTTGTAAAAACATTGCATAGAGCCTAAAAGCCTAAATCCTTAACTTGCGTAAAATGTTAACTCTATGTTTTCTGCCTTGCAAGCATGAGTGTTTCCTACAAGAAATGAAAATTAAGCGAGTGTTACTATGTCTGACAGCTTCAGCTGGGTGCTGCTGCCCTGGCCTGCCCACTCGGGTCATAACATTGCTAATTATTGTAGAAAAAAAAAGCAGAACACTAATGAGCACCAACAAACCCATAGGTATATCATTTTCAAAATCCATCTTTGGACGTCCTTTATGCTGCCGTAATTGTGTGTTTTTGCATTTAGAGCTATAAGTCTAACCTTTTAAGCAGTTTTATTGTATCTCTGACTAAAATGTTCTGAGTATATTAGATAGCGTTAAACGAAATCTATTAGCAGAGAAACTAATTTCACTAGTGCTAACCTCTCTTGCTATTATTGATGTTGTGAATAAGAGTGAATACATATATACTGAATGAGCAATCCTCTATTGAATTCTGAAAAGAGATTGTAAGATAACAGTTTCCATGTTTGGAATTTGTAATTGTGTTAAGCTTTCATGAATAGTTTCCGGGTTTGAAATTTAACAGGTAATTTGTGTTACTTTAGCGTTTTTGTAAATGTGTCAGTTGGCTCAACTACGGCTAAAACAAAGAGGCACATAAGATTACATAAATGCAGTAGAGAATGCATAAAACAAGACAAGTACCGTACAAAACAAAGTTACGGACACTACTGATGGCAGAGTGCATACATTATGATAGCACTTATGGCGTTTGATGCTCTTGATGGTAGATACATCTATGATCCATTTCAGGTGTCATCTAACATCTACTTAGAAATGTAATACCTGATGAAACTGTGTGTTATGTTATTGGAGTGAACACTTTTTTTAAAATACCCAAAGAGGTTTGCTGGCATTGCTTGTAGGTTTCAGGAACCAGTCTTGGCCTCTCAGATTTGTCTTGCAATTATACAAACCTTTAGACATTTACTGATGGATGTACAGCTCTGTGCTGTCAGGTTGGTGTAAGTTCAACATCAGTTTTAAAGATAAACACATCTGTTCCAATCACCTGAATGGTTGTTTCTGAAATAATAGGCTTTAAAAGAGCCACGGAGAGCAAAATAGGCATTGTGTACATTGTGAACTAGACGTATTGGGGTTTTTGCATCCCTGGATTATACAATAGCTTTCAAATAGTCATATAATGGCTCCCATCTGTATCCTAATGTATTTTTAATATGAAAAACACGAGCGGTGCTGGTGTTTGTGTTGGTGAGTAGGCGTTACAGAGAGAGAGAAGGGCTGGGGTGGACCGCTGAAGAACAAAATATCGAGAACAGCGGTGAGCGAGGAAATTCAGTTCCCAGAGAAGAAAGACAAACCTGAGAAACTTGAGTACTTTTATACCAGCTATACAGTTCTGTATCTAACTACTCTGTGCTCACAAGACTCCTATATGCTTGTGTAGTACATTACTGTGGCATTGAATGCTATACTTATCCTTGTGATGGTCTTTTAATTGGTAAAAAAAAAAATCTTCCATTTCAATGTGAGTTTGGTGTGCAACGATCCATTTTCATAAGCACCAGATGCAAGCAGGAAAAGGCAGAAACAGATATCATAATACTGGCCAAAAGTGCAGCTACCTAGTGTCAACATCTTGAAGTAATCGACTTCAAAACCTGAATGCTGTTAATTTAACATATTCCAAATCTTGCTGCATTGGAAGTATGTGCCTCTAAAACCTACCGGGTCTCATGGCAAAAACGTACCTGGGGGCACTTTTTCGCGAGACGCGAAATACGTACCAATAAATACATATCACTGCAGTTTCAAAAAGAAATGAACACTAGAGGCAGTAAAACACCTTTTATTCTTTTTCACACAAATTTACAGAGTTTCGATTAATAAAG